ACACTGCACTCCATTCTGGGCGACAGAGTGAGATTCCAACTCAAAAAAAAAAAAAGAGAGAGACGAGGTCTTGCCACGTTGCTCGAGCTGGTCTCAAAAGCGCAGGCTCAGGCTGGAATGACAGGCGGAACCACTGAGCCCAGCCTTGGGGCCATTTTAAACAGCAAAATCGACAAGAAAAAGCCCCCAAATGTGGCACTAAGTAGACCACAAAAAGGATACTTGTACACAGTGTAAGAGCTGAAACAAGAAGGCAGAGCTTCACCTTGTTTAACCTCAGTTGGGAAGGTGTGCATCAGGCAAATCAAATTTTTTGCTGCTTTGCGCAGTTCTACAGATGACTGTGAAAATACCATGAGTATTGATTTGGGGATTACAAATGCATTTTAGCGAGTAGGTGAATTCTCAAATATGGAATCAGTGAGCAGTGACTATTGACTGTGTTGCTGAATGAATAAATGAAGGGGTAGTGATAAGTTTAATTTGAAGGTGGAACCAGGACACAACCCTGTCTCATATCATTAACAGTGGGGCTTGCTGTGTGAAAAGCTGTTACTCTCAAAACACTCAGCACAGTTTCGAGGTAACTCCTCAGGCAAGCGTCACAAGCCTGAGTTCTGTGGCAAGATCACAGAGCCTGGCTCAGGGACAGCACTAGTGAAGAGCAACTATAGACTTTGTCAGCATGTATTGATCAGGAGTAGTCTGTGTGAGTCAAGACTGACAATAGATCAATAAACGCTTGTAAAAAATAAAAACAAAAAAGCCTCAAACATTCTTCATGTAGGAAGCCAACATATACCCTACGGTCTGGGCGGGTCTCCTTATGTTCCCAGGACCCAGGCTCACCTCCGTTCTCGAGGTCCTCTTAACATCTGTCTACGTGTCTCATTCCCACCAGGCAAACCAGGGCTGTGACAGAGGACCTGGAAGGCAGGCAAAAACAGAAGACTATCACTCTATTTATTAAGACACTAAGATACAGTTGACCATTCTGGCTTCAGCTAATTGTGCGACATGATAATGATGCATCCACTTTAGATCAGAAGTCTTGGAGAGCAAACATCAGGCCTCTTCTTCCACAGAGCATGTTTTGAAGACCTGTGAATGAGTGAGCCATTGATGTGTATTTTTAGGGTATATATTTGTATTTCAGCATATGCTGAAATGTGATGCATATTTCAGCATAACGGAGAAATATTGGAAGTAGTATGCCAAAGTGTTCACATAGCTCCCTTGGGTTGCTGATTTATGGGAAATTTTTGTCTCTTTCTTTATACTTTTATCTACTATCTAAATCTATGCAATATGTGTGTGTGTACTTTTATAAACAAGAAAGAAATGTTATGAAAGAAAAAAGGCTCTTAAAAATTGCTGCTGGACTGTCAGCTCCCTCGGAAGCCTGGTGAGCCGCAGCGTCACTAGCGGTGGCAGACGCTCTCCAGGGGCAGGAGATGGATCTTGTTCTCAATGCTGCAGATGATCATTTTTTTACACCATACATATATCCAGCCACATGGCCAGAAGATGACATCTTCCGACAAACTATTAGTCTTCTGATTGTAACAAATGTTGGTGCTTATATCCTTTATTTCATCTGTGCAACTCTGAGCTATTATTTTGTCTTTGATCATTCATTAATGAAACATCCACAGTTTTTAAAGAATCAAGTCTATCAAGAGATTATGTTTACTGTCCAGTCACTGCCATGGATAAGTATTCCTACTGTTTTATTGTTCCTGCTAGAGTTGCGAGGCTACAGCAAATTATATGACAACATAGGAGAGTTTCCATATGGCTGATTTCAATTCCTTGTTAGTGTTATATCTTTCCTCTTTTTCACTGACATGCTGATCTACTGGATTCATAGAGGTCTTCATCATAAACTTGTATATAAGCGTACCCATAAACCTCATCAAATTTGTTTTTTTTTTTGAGTTGGAGTCTCACTCTGTCGCCCAGACTGGAGGGCAGTGGCTGCTCCTGGCCACCACAGCCTTGACCTGCTGGGCTCCGGCGATCTTTCCGCCTCAGCCTTCCAAGTAGCTGGAACTACAGACGCGTGCTACCATGCCCCAGCTAATTTTTTATTTATTGTAGAGATGAGGTCTCTCCAAGTTGCCCAGGCGGGTCTCGAACCCGTGGGCTCAGGCAGTCCACTCACCTCAGCCTCCCAAAGTGCTGGGATTACAGGCTGAGCCACCGAGCCCGGCTCCTCATCATATTTGAAAGATTCCTACGCCATTTGCAAGTCATGCTTTTCACCCTGTGGATGGCTTCCTTCAGAGTCTACCCTACCATATATACTCTTTTGTCTTTCCATTACACAAGGTGGTTTATTTAGGTTTGTACATCGTGGTTAATATCTGGACAATTTCTATTCACGATGGTGATTTTTGTGTCCCCCAAATCTTAAGGCCATTTATTAATGGCTCAGCTCATCATACACACCACCATTATGGACAGTGTTTCACATTGTGGGATAGGATTGGAGGCTCATTCAAAAATCCTTCCTCATTTGAGGGAAAAGGACCCATTGATTATGTGAAGAAGATGACAGAAAAAAAGTGCAACAGCCATGCAGATAATGGTTGTAAAAATGAAAAATTACTCAACGGATTGCTTACAAAGACTGAGTAGATTTTGACTCAATCGTTTTTAAATATTTTTAATGAGGAAAAATAATCTACACAGCCAAGATACATAACAAGAAATGGTGTCATTTGAAAATCAAGATTGTGAAATGAACATAATGGTAAATTTAGAGAAGGTGCTATAAACACCAAGATATTAGTCTTATGCTTAACATGCTGGTATAAGGGACGTGTGTCTGTTAGTTAGCAGATCTGTAGTTGCCAAACCACAGCAGCAATTTAAAAGAAGATATAGAATAAATTATTAAGGGGATTAGCCTATATTCTTTTGCCTTAATCCACCAGTCCACCCGTACTCATTGTGCTTGATAATACCAAGACTAAACACCATAGTTAAGAAATATTAGCTGGGCTCAGTGGCTCAGCCTGTAATCCTACGCCTTTGGGAGGCTGAGGTGAGCGGATTGCCTGAGCCCGCGGGCTTGAGACCCGCCTGAGCAGCGAGACCTCATCTCTACAGTAAATCAAAAAAGCAACAGGGCGTGGTAGCACATACCTGTAATTCCGGCTACTTGGAAGGCTGAGGTGGAAGGATGGCCGGAGCCCAGCAGGTCGAGGCTGCGGGGGCCGGGAGCGGCCACTGCACTCCAGTCTGGGTGACAGAGTGAGACTCCAACTCCAAAAAAAAAAAAGAAATATTAGCAAAAGATTGTTCCTTGTTTCAGGAATGATCAGTTCTTCAGTGTTGGTATGATAATGACTACTTATACTTTATTCAAGTGGAAGCATCAATGTGGATTTTAAAATTTTGGTACATTAGCAGTCATGTAAATAACTTAATTGGTAGCAAGTGTAATAAGACTATTATCTTCCTACACATAGGAGGCTCATTCTCTGGGGATGTTGTCAAAGATTACATTTTACTGGTGAATAAATAGATTGGAATTACAAAATATTGACACTACCATAATTTAATCCAGATTAGGGATTATGTAACTAAAGATTTTGATAGTTATTAAAAACTACTGTTTAATAAGTGTAAAAATTCAGAATCTGAATATATTTAGAAAGAAAAAATTGATGCCCAGGTAATGTATTTGGCACTACTGACTTTTAAATCAAATTGATGCACTGCACTTTTTTATAGTTACAAACCTGCAATTTTTATAAAAGGAAATAATTGCCAAATTTTTAAGCCAATAGTTGAGGATTCATTTTGAAATATTATTCTCTCCTCACTTTTCTCCACTTTCTCTGCAAAATAATTTGACACAAATACTTTTATACAGAAGTGTTGTCTGTTGTAACATAAATATATTGGAAAAACATGGTTTGTAAAGGTATTCTATAAGCTATTTATGTAAACTAAAAAAATTGATCATTAAAAAAAATTGCTGCTTCAGAAGGACAGCATATACCATATTTTTCAGAGGCCTGGGAATCCTGCCATCCTGCTGTGTGTTACCTGCTTTGTTTTCTCAGCCAGAGGGCAAGGAACCATGAGCGTTTACATTGTACGGCTCATTGCCTCTCACCCAGAAGACGGTGTTCTTAACAGACTCACAGCGATGTCCTGGGTGTCATAGGGTGTGATCCAGTATTGGAGTCCCACCCTGGCCCCCCAACAGGTGATCATTACAGAAGTTTTTCTGAATGAAACAGTACAGTTAAGGTTGAATTGTAATAGGCACCCAAAAAAGGAAAAGGAAGAAGAAATAGTCATCACCAAGCAGTAAGTCAAAATGAAGTGATAAGATGCATCTGTTCCTTGTAGGGGTGGTTGAACATCTCTGGAAATGGTTGAATGCTGAGGATTTTTGGAATGGTTCATTTTAGGTCTTCCTGAATACAAATGGCTCAGTCATAATACCGTATGTGGGTCTGGAAACTTTGTGGTTCTGTTCCCCAGGGTTTTTAGAGTTCTTTTGTGAGGGCATATCTTAAGAGTGGTACATGGGTATAGTGCCCAGGATACATGTGAAAATTGACCATCATCTTGGGCAGTGTGTCACCACATCAGGGCTGGCCAGGCTTTCCGTGATATGTAGTGTCTGTCCGGAGGAGCAGGACTCTAGTGCACAATTCAGCAATCCTGGAGCCCAGAACGGGCAGGACTGCCTTATTCAGGCCCTGCTGACTCTCATCTGCTGACCAGCTGTGCTGCATACAGCAGTTGCTGAGATGACCAAGATAAGGCGCCTGCCCTAGGGCTTGCCGGCAGATACACGCCACACAGCATCAAGACACAGTCTGCTAGAACCCTTACAGACAGTGTCCTCAGGCATCTAAGAGACTGCCTGGCTGCCTGGTCCCATGAGAGACTGGGACACAATCCAGCAGCACCTGCTGTGGTTTTCTTATCACAACAGGGAGGAAGGCATGTTTTCATGGCAGAATTACACTGGTCTCCATCAGGTCCAAGGTAAAATTTAACCCAAGTTTACAACCCTCCTCCAGTGGGAACAATAATAACAACACTAGCAGCAGCAGCCGTTGCGTGGCAGCTAACTCTCTTAAGCTTACACATGGGTGCCAGGCACTATGCTAAGTGCCATCCCTGGAACGTTCACAACCACTCAAAGAAGTGTAGATCGTGGATTATCTTACAGAATCTTCACAATTATACTAGGGAGTATAAGTAGGGGTATTCCACTACATTTTCCCAATTATACTGGGAGGCATAGATAGTGGATCATCTCATGGAATCTTGGCAGCCACACTGGGAGATGTAAAAAGTGGATTATCTCAGTGGGAAGTGTAGGCAATGCTGTTTTTCTCATTTTGCACTTAAAATTGAGTGTCAGCGAGGTCCTAGAATTTGCCCGAGAGCACAGTGCTAGCCTGAGGCCCTAAACCTAGCTCTGCAGGCCTCAGGGCTGTATCCTTGCCCTGGCCCCAGGGAGGACACAGTCTTGATTACCACGCCCATTGTACCCAACCCAAGAACAGGATCTCTTGGAAATTAGCAGCGAACACTATGCTTTTTAAAAATAAGTCCTTGAGGTAGGGGAGCATGCTAAGGAGAAGGAAGAAGTCTGAAGAAGGGTAAAATTATCAACTGTTCCTTTAAGGGACTCCTTAAAAAAAAGTATTTTCTCTGATCAAAAGTTGTTTCCCTCTTATGTTAAATTGGAGTGAACTTTGTGGCTGCTTCAGCTCCTGTATCTACAGCACCGTGCCTTCTAGAAGTGTCGCACCCCATTTGCAAAACAGCAAACCACACTTACTGCCTTTCTTCCCAGAGCAACTGTGTATGGGACCCTCAGTCAAGGGTGTCACACAGATACAGACACTGAATTTCTGACTTCTAGTCTGTGAGAAATGCTCCTGGACCTTTTTTTTTGTGGCAAACCCAGGCATCCTTCAACCTGTTGTCATTTGGGAAGGAGAAATTGAGATGTCAGAGCCCATTAGCCAAATCCCCAGGAGATTAAGGTTGTTTATGTATTGAGGCAGGAAGAGGCAAACAAAGGACTTTCTTCAACTGATTTTATCTGAACTAATGCCACATCTGCATTATCCTGGGATTAATGACTTTATGAACGTGTTTAATCTCAGAAGCTATTTTGTGGTGCAGCCTTGACCCTGAATGGTAGCTCATACTTTAGAGTCATCACAGTATAAGATCTTTGGCCTCTGGAGCCTGCCTTATCCTGCACTTTGCTTGTGTCTTCATTCCCTTTTCCTGCCCTCCCCGGGTGGCAGAGACTCCAGAACCCTGCCCGTAACGTCCAGGTGCCAAGTCCAGGGAGTAGGACTAGAGAAAAGAGAGGTCACGCGGGCCTCCTGCCACAGAGCAGAATGGCTTATCACCCAGCTTCTCTGTGCCCATGCTCACCTAGAACAAAGGGGCAACTTCCCTTGGGTGCGGCATTGTGGAAAATGGTGTCCAACCCATCACTCTTGTCTTCACTTGCCTGTTGTGAGGTTCCAGGTGGAATCTCAGGCCTTCATAAACCACATTAGAGAACAAGAGTGGGTCTTCGCTCTTCTTCTTTCTAGAGTGGTGAGTCTAGACTCCTCATCCACCACTCCTGCCCCCTTATTCATGAGGGTGACCCTGGACAGTCCTAGTGAAAGGGTCTGAAAGCTGTCAGGACCCTCTGACCTTTTTGAATTCCTGACAAGGAAGAAGGTGAGAAAGAAGAGAGGACAGAATACAAGGAAAGATCAGTATTTGGAGGAAAGAGGTAGGAACCAAAAAGGAGAGAAATGATGGTGAAAACCTTGGCCAGATGCCTGGCCCACCACTTGGTGACACTGGCATTGGTGACACTGGCACAGCTTGTCCCAGCTAGGGCACTCACTCCTGTGAGTCTGCACATGAGTACAGATACACACACACACACACACACACAACAGCTGGAAACACTGCTACCCCACCTCTATGCTTGGGATGGAATTTTGCCAGCATGCTCTTTTTATAAGAAAAGAAAAAATTAACTCTTGCTTGCCAAGCTCAACCTTTAAAACTGCACCTGGTACACAATCTGTGGCATGTGTTCGTTCAATAAATAAGAAGTGCTTATGACCAAGCATTCATCAGCGGGGTAGATGGTCAACTAGCAAATATGTGTAGTGCCAGACACATGGGGGTCTCAAGGCAGTTACAGAAGAGTTAGGAGACCGACCAGAACAGACTTTGTGAAGGAGGTGACATCTGGGTGGGGCCCTGATGGACAAGCAGGAATGATTCTGAAACAGGGTGTCCAGCTCTCGTCAGCTTTCCCGACTGAACTGTGGCCACAGCCCCCCTCCCATCTTCCCAGCCTCTCGTCCCTCCCCAGTCAAACTCACTCTTCTCATGACTTCCATCGTGTGCACATGGTTTAAAACCCACAGTTCCCCGTGAGGATAAAAACAAGAAAGAAAAAAAAGAGAAGACCCTTCCTCAAGGCCGGTCTACACACACCTCATTCTGCCCCCTCTACCAATGAGGTATTTCCTTGTACTTCCATGCCTAGCATGGAAGATTTGTTCTCCTTCAGGCCACCACCCTAGATAGCACTCCCACCTCCCACCCACCAGTGTTAGGCCCTGTGTCCACACAGCGCTTTGGACATTTTACTTTGTAAATTTTATTTTCCAGTTTCCACTTGCCTAGACATTTAATTTTCAGAAGGAACAGGCAATTTGTTTATTTTCTCACATCATATTTAGCACAGTCCTTGACCATAGCAAACAGTGAATGAGTGAATTAATTAATGGAAAGAAGAAAGAAAGGTGGAACAGGAGAGTAGAAATGTTGGACTCTGGCTACAAATAGAAAGTAGGGGCTGGATTGGGCTGGGCGAAGTGGCTCAAGCCTGTAATCCCAGCACTTTGAGAGACTGAGGTGAGAGGATTGCCTGAGCCCAGGGGTTCAGGACCAGCCTGGGCAGCTTGGTGAGACCTCGTCTCTATAATATATCAAAAAATTAGCCAGGCATGGTAGCACACACCTGTAGTTCCAACTACTTGGAAGGCTGAGGCGGAAGGATCGGCTGAGCCCAGCAGGTCGACTCAAGCTCAAAAAAAAAAAAAAAAAAGAAAAGAAAGAAAGTAGGGACTGGATTGTACATGTAGACCAACTTAAGCAAATCTGATGTTGAAATCAGGAGTAGAAGATAGAAAATATTTTGGGAGGAGCAAACGTCAGAAAAGGGCCTCAGAGGCTGGAGGGAGGGCCCCAGGAGAGGCCCCCCACCCAAGAGAGGATGTATGGTCACATCAGATCTGCGGAGGGACAAGACCTTGGGATTTAGGGTTCGGTTGTCGGGAGGATGGACGGAGCAGTGTTCACCTCATGGTTGGTTCAGAAACTCGCCGATGAGACACAGGCAGAGGTTGTTTAAGTTTAGGGTAATGGAGAGGAGAGAACTGGGGCTTTGGAGAAGATCGAGGCTCAGTGATTTATTTTTCTTGAAGCTGTGGAAGACCCATGCATTTTACAAAGCAGCTGGGACGTAGTCAGTGGCTTGGGAGAGACTAAAGAGCCAGGAAGTGGACATGGGATGAGTCTAAGAGATGGAGCAGGATTCCTAGGGGACCAGTGTGGTGGAGGACTCAGGGAGCAGCTGGGAAAAGAGTGGAGGCAGTCTCCCACTGCCAGGGCCTGGGGAGGCCTGTATATGAGGCCAAAGGCCCTTCTCAACCCCGGCAGGAGACTGCAGTTTGCAAAGCAGTGGCTTCTGTCTCTCACCCCTCCTTGGTGACCTGGGGACTGAGAGAAAAGAACTCCAGATTGAACTAGAAGCAGAAACAAAAGCAAAGTGAGTAACATCCTCTACACCACCGAAGTAAGGGGTAGAATAAATCAGGCCACCAAGAGCGATGACATTAACTCATCCTGGACATCCACACGTGTTGCTGTGAAAAGGCCCTGTCAGCACCTGGTTGACCCAGGTGCACCTGCACCGCATAGAAGGGAAATGGGAAAGGTGCCAGGTGTGTGGGAGATACATTTCTGCCTTTGTTTTATCTAGTGGCAGGCAAACATTTGGAAGCAGGCTCATGGGGAATGTTTGGATCATCCTTTTGCTATAGCTGTGAGAAGTCACATATTTAATCCATGGGTTTCCTTGTTGAGAAAGGCAATAACTTCTCATCATAGAAAATATGAAAATATAGAAGAGTCAAAAAGTAAGAGGAGGAGAATAACCCACACAGTCTTGCCACCCAAAGATAAGCACAGTTGATGTGAAAGAAAATTCAACAAAACATAAGATTTTAGGAGCACTATTTCTCTTCTCTCTGAAACATTAAGGAAAGCAACTGAGATTAGTTGTTGGTGTCACTCCACAAAGGGAAGTTTATGCTCGATGTCTCTAAAAGACAAGAGAACAATAGTGTGCCTGTAGCATTCAAGCAAATTGGGAATCAGGTAGAATGTACTGGTCCAAAGTGATGGGATTATATTAAAGAAATCTTATCTTTTTTTTTTTGAGTTGGAGTCTCGCTCCATCGCCCAGGCTGTAGTACAGTGGCACACTCACGGCCACCCCAGCGTCAACCTGCTGGGCTCCGGTGATCCTTCCACCTCAAGTAGCTGGCGCTATTGGCCTGAGCTACCATGCCTGGCTAATTTTCGATTTATTGTAGAAAGGAGATCTCGCCAGGTTGCTGGAGCTGGTCTTGAACCTACAGGCTCAGGCAATTCACTCGCCTCGGCCTCCTAAAGTGCTGGGATGACAGACTGAGCCACCAAATCCGGCCAAGAAATCTTACCTGTTTATGTACTTATTTTTATCTCCTAGAAAGGATTCCTAGGAGGAAATTGGCTTTCAAGTGCATGCTGGCGTTATAGGAACAGTTCGCGTTTACTTTTTTGTGGCTCAGACTGAAGGGTATAATATCTTTGGTGCATCTTTAAAAAGAAAACACAGTTCCCTAAAGAAAAGTAACGGTTTCACCAGAGGGGTTCCCAGACCCCCTGAAACCTGAGGCACAGCAGTAGTGTTCTCTGTGTAGGAGAAACAGAAGTTGCAACTGAACAGGTTATAGGTTATATAGTTTTGCATAACTCTATTCCTTTACCTGCAGAAAAGGGGCTGCATCCAGCAGCACCAGCACCTGGAGCCGACGGGCAGCCTGCGCCACCCTGGCTCACCATCGCTCGACAGAAGCGGCGAGGGGGCTCGAACCAGCCATCCAACCAGGAAGACAAGCCTGGGGCACGGACCCTGAAGTCTGAACCAGGAAAGCAAGCCAAGGCACCCGAGAGAGCCCAGGTGCTTAAGCAAACACATTCTGTTCTGGGTGCAGGAGGGAGCAGCCAGCGGCTAGGGGTGGGACTTGGACCTCCGGAAAGGCCACATGTCTGTCCTGCATGGGCATCACAGAGACCATCACCAGTGATGCTTGCTGATGTCCAGGGCCAGTGAAGCAAAATCAATGATTTGGCAAATGATAGCCTCCATGGTGCAGCAGTCTGCCTGCTTGTGCATGTGCTGGGCTGTTATGGACGCAGAGAAGCAGGTGAATCACTTAGGAAGTGGAGACAGCTCCCTGGCTCCTAGGCAACGCAGCTCAGCATCTGGAAAAATGAAAGGAGGTTAAAATAACTCCTGGGTTAGATAGGCAGCATCAGTGTCAACAGCTCCATCTCAACTGGTTGTGCAGTGAGGATCCAGGAGCCAAGCAGCTCTTTCTACTCTGCTGGCCACCTGCTGGGCTCCTTATTCCTTACCTGGAGAGTGGGACAGGCAGGGCTGGAACTTGTGCTTCCATATTGTGCTCTGAACTAAAGCAACTTTCACCAACCCTAACAATCATGCTTAGAGGCCGAGACACAGTTTTTGTATCCCCTGGAAAGCACCACGATAAATCCACAAGAGTGTTTCTGCCATGTGGGGAAGGAAGCCTGACCCTGTGGTAGGACCTGCTTCCCCTCATTTTAACCAAAACCTTCACTGTACCCAGGCCTGAAGACCCTCATGCAGGCTTAGGGAATTTAAAAAGCAAATATTAACCAGTTCAGAGCACCTAGAATCATACTAACTGTCATACAAGTCATAGAACTATTTTTCATTTTATATTCAGAGGGTGCGTGTGCATGTTTGTTCCATGGACATATTGGGTAGTGGTAGAGATTGGGTCTCAGGTGGCCCGTTCCCCAGATAGTGAACGCTGTGCCCCATAAGTAGTACAAAACTATTTCTAAACACAATTCATCTTGACTTGTTAAATGGAATCCCTGCCATCCAACATCTGGGACTGAGACCAGGTGTGGGGACAGGGAAGAAGCTGTGATGCACTTGTGTGCCCTGGTCTGGGCTCCAGCATTCTGGCATCTCAGCCTCAGTGAGCTGACACACCAGAGCTCTCCCAAGGAAGTGCCAGCAGCGCGATTCATCTTGGGAGAGAAGCCCCGTGGCTCATTCACTTCGGCTGTGTTTGCTTTGTCTGAATCGTGATTGGACAGTATGTGTCTTCTTGTGTCCCCACAGGAGCCTATGAAGCAAACTGACTTTGTTCGCAGCAAGTCTTTCCTGATAACCCCTGTCAAGCCCGCTGTGGACCGGAGGCAGGGGGCAAAGCTCAACCTCAAGGAGGGGCTGCAAAGAGGAATCTCACTGTCCCATCAGAACTTGGGTATGAAATCTGCAAATATCACCAAACACTTTGATATCATTTTTCTGGATTGTTCCTGCAGTTCGGCTTTCATTTTAGTTTCATTTGGTTTTTCTGAATTACTTGCCGCATCAAATTTATTACACATCATATATTGAGATATAATTTACGTGTCATAAAACTTACCCATTTTAAGTGTACAATTCATTAAGTGTGATTGACCCTTGAGTAACATGGGTTTGAGCTGTTCAGGTCCACTTAAACACTGATTTTTTTTTTTTTTTTTTTTTTTTTTTTTAGAGTTGTGGGTTACATGTGAGGATATGCTACATAAGTGAACTGTGTGCAGATGACATTTGGGCTTCTAGCAAGCCCTCTGTTCCCCTGGTAGTGGACATGGTACCCAGTAGATGGTTGTATGTCCCTTTTCCTCTTCCCTACCCTTTCCCTGCTAGTGTCAGTTGTTCCTGCCTTTGTGGTTGCATGCCCAATGTTTAGGGCCTACTTCTGAGTGAGAACATGATATACTGGGTTTTTTCCAACCAAACTCGGAGAGAAAATACTGTCTTCTCAGCATGCAAAACCTGAGTATCCAAAGGGTCAATTTTTCATATGCTAACTCCGGGACTTGAGTATGCATGGATTTTGGTATATGCAGTGGGAAAGGTCCTGGAACCAGTCCCCCAAGTGGTACCAGGGACGACAGTATATTTACAATGAGTATGTATTTACAGAGTTGCACAACCATCTTGACAATCTAATTTTAGAATGTTTCCCTCACACCAGAAAGAAGCCTTATGCCCATTTACAATCATTCCCCATTCCCACCCCTAGCTCTAGGCAACCATTAGTCTTTCTGTCTACAGATTTGTCTTTTGTGGACATTTCATAAATAAAATCATAAAATATGTACCTTTTGTATCTGATTCTTTCACTGAGCATAGTTGAGATTTGTCTCAATTTTAATTTTTAATTGTGGTAAAAGGCACATAATAGAAAACTTACCATCATAACCATTTTTAAGTATAAATGATACTGCTGTGCAACCCCCCTCTGGAGTCCCTGCAGTTTTATTCTGAAAGTCCCTCGCTTCACTACATTGCCAGAACTATCTGAGCCTGCTCTGAAGCCTTTTTATTACACAGATTACATATTCTCTGTCTAGGTCTTCTTTACATGTTTACACATTAATGAATTTTGGGTTCGAGACCACAGTTGAGACCTCATCATTTATTTCAAGAACTCCAGGAGGCTTAAGTGAACATTCAGACTCGTTTCTGTTTGCTTTGTCTCCTTTCCAGCAGCTCAGTCTGCGGTGATGACGGAGAAGGAATTGCACCAGCTGAAAAGAGCCAGTTATGCCAGTGTGGATCAGCCCTCCTGGATGGAACTTGCCAGAAAGAAATCTCAAGCTTGGAGTGACATGCCCCAAATTATAAAATAGGTTGGCAGTGTGCTGATAAAACACGCCCACTGCCTTGACAGGCCACTTTGTTAAAAACTGCCAGTAAATCGTGGCAAACAAACTGTGAAACTTCAGATTGATTTTATCAAGTTATGAGGAGCTCAGGAAAGAGGAAGGAACAAGGCAAAACAAAGAGGATAAACATAAAGCCATAATCCTGGGCCAGAGGGGCCCAGAAACAAGAACAACATTGAAAACGTACAGGAATGAGTTCCTGTCCCCAAAGGTGTGAATGTAAGTCTTTTAGAATTCCCCTGATTAAAAAGACCTCAGACAAGGAAGAAAACAGAAAAGAAATTGGACACCCTGCAAGACCAGAAGAGAAACCATTCGGCAGGATGTCTGTGCTTCCACTTGAGATCAGCCTATGTCTCTGGTCGCTGTCTTGCTGTGGTTCCTGTCTTCTTTCATGTTTACTAGTAGGCATGACATTCGTGGTAAAAGGGAGATGCCATTTCCAAGAGCAGCTATGAAACAATCTGTTTTCCTGAAGATAGTCACTCTGAGGAGAGGAAGGAGCATAGCAGGGTTCTTCAATTCAGAGACTGTTTCCAAAAATAATTTTTAAAATTTTCCACTAGGCATCTGTGTCCTTAACTGTTGCACAATGCATTGCCTGTTTAATAAAAGGTTTCAAACATGCCTCTGTTCTGTGTGTAAATGCTATTTCTGTTTACACTTACATCCTCCAGTGCTGAGTTAAATGCAGTGAATAGGGGTTTTGCGTCATACGTACTTCATTTAAAATCTCAATTGGGTTGAGATTTTGGAGTTTGAGTTTTTGAGGACTTTTTTTTCCAGTGAAAATGTTGGTGATCACTTTTGGAAGGCAGAAGATAATTAGGGCTTCCCCCCCCCTTTTTGTCTATTTGGTTCAACATGCTAAAAATTATAAAATTTCCTAAGCAGTTATAATTCTTTAGCATCTAATTAATCTAACTGTACATTTCTATCAAAAGCTGGGTTGCCAGTACGTTCACGAACATGACCCATGAATTCAGAACATTGAGAAGCCAGGCAGAAGGAAGACACATATTTGAAATCTCAGAATTGTTCCTCAGTTATAGAAAACCACTTTATTTTTTAAAACACTTCCAATTTGTTCCTTTGAACAAGCTAATCTCCATGGGAATATATACAGCTGGGGGCACTGAGCCATCAGAATCAGCACAGCTTTGTGATATATTGTAATTTGATTTTACATACTTTTATTGTATTTTCCATCTTCGTGAATATTATTTTTCTAGTTGTTAGTACCACACAAATTAATCCAGCCTACCTTTATTAGGAAAGTCTGGGGACAGATTATTTTTTCAATCAAATTGATTTATTAATTGCATTCACTTGGAAAGCATCAATACCGAATTCCACAGTGAATATGTTCTAAACAAGAACTCCATCCATCTAGCCTTGCTTCAAAAGCTTAGACATGAGTAGTTTTAATTGGAAAAGATCATGTTGGCTGTTATTACCCCAAATCACCATTTCCCCTATTAGCAGAATGTTTTAGATGAGCCATTTTGAGACAGCAGGTTTCTTTGTAAGATCAAAAATATCCGGTTCGGTTTTCTTCACACATATTTTGATATTCTCTGTGTGTTTCTGGACTTGGTCTCATTTTCTCTGGCACCTAGTGAATTAGGAGGGTGCAGATTTTTAGGACACTGGGAGAATTCTTGGGAGTGGAGGGGTCCTGCCAGCTACCACCCTCTGCATAAGGGTTGTGACCCTTCTGACATAACAAGAGAAGTTGAGACAGTGCTGAAACTTGGGGTTGACTGGGGAGTCTGGGACAGCAGCAGAGATGGTACAAGGCTGCAAGGAATTCCTAGCCATTCTAAGAAAAAAGAGAGTGAGCAATTCCTGAGCCAGCCATTGTTCTGAGTCTCCATATGTATTATATGGAATCCTCTCCACAGTCCTTTGGGGGTAAGGGCTCTCGCCACCGTGCAGGTGAGGAAGTAGGGGCATGAAGATCCCACAGCAGGTATGCACCTGGAAAATGACTCCATGGCCCATGCCTTTAAACACTACCTTCAACTGACATCCCTGTTTTTAAAAAGCATCAATGCAGAGGTGTCCTCAAAGGCAGCACATACGGGAACAGTGAACTTGACCTTGAAGGCTCCTACGTCCTTGGGACATCTTTATCTTTCCAGTCCTTAGAAGGACTGGAGATATAAGGGTTTTTGTTGTTGTTGTTGATATTGTTGTTTTGTAATTTTTAATCGTGAGCATATACCTGAACTATGTGGAGTTTCCATTCATTCAGGTGACACTTCTGAGCCAGCACTCTACAAGGCTGGGTCTACAAGGGCTTGGGTACACCCTGATGAACAAACTAGTAATCAGCTAACCTTGTGGCATATCCATTTTATCTTGGGGGGAAGAGGGACACAATAAATAAATATGAATCATGGGGGGGAACAAGGAAAAATATTAATAGCAACAAGTGCAGTACTGCACCTAAAACAGAGAGTCTTTGTTGTGGCAGAGGGCCACTTGAGATTGAGTGGTTAGTGAAGTGTTTCCTGGAGGTTACCTAATTATTAAAATGATCGCGGTGGTCTGGTCTAGGGTTATTGTAGAGATGGAGAGAAGTTGATGGATCCAAAACACATTTTAAAGGTAGTGTCAAATCCAGCATGTAGGTGGATTTGATATGGTGTGAGAAGGAAAGGGTGGAGATGGAGATGACACTTGGATTTTTGGTTGGAGGTTCTGGGTGAGTAGTAGTAGCACAGAAATGGGAATGGAAGGTGAAAGCCACAGAAGGGCGTTTTGGATCGCTTAAATCTGAGATTTCCCCTTAAGCACCTGAGTGGAAATATCAAGTAGGAAGACCAAGCCACAAAATTAAGCGTCATCAGCATTTAGACGGGGGAGGAATTTAGGGGTCTGGAAGATGAAGAGTGCCAGGACTGATCCTAGGATACTCCAACACTAGGAGCTAGAGAAAGAGGGCATAAGAAGGATCTGTGAAGGAAGAGGAAAGTTCTGGGAGGAAGGGGAAGGGTCAGCTGTTTCAGATGGGATCTGCTGTGATCTAGCCAGGTGAGAACAAGAGTGGCCATTGACCTCAGGAACACAGAAGCCATAGATGACGGGAGCCCTTTCCATGGAAAGGTGGGGGGAAAAGCATAGATAGACTAGGTCAAAGTTGGCCATCAACTATAACCAACTTTCAAGAAATTTTACATGAATGAGAGGATAAATGGTGGTAGCTGGAGGTGGGGGTGGCCAACAGAGGGTTTCTTTGTTTGTTAAAAGAGAGATACACAGCCAGGTGTGGTGGCTCAAGCCTTTAGGAGGCCGAGGCGAGAGAATTGCTTCAGCCCAGGGGTTCGAGACCAGCCTGCGCAACTTGACAAGACTTCGTCTCTACAATAATTCAAAAAATTAGCCGGGTATGGTGGCTCACGCCTGTAGTTCCAGCTACTTGGAAGACTAACGCAGAAGGATTGCCTGAGCCCAGCAGATCAAGACTGCGGTGGGTGCAAGTGGGCCACTGCACTCCAGCTTGGGCAACAGAGTGAGATTCCAACTTCAAAACAAAACAAAACAAAACAAAAATATATATATATACACACACACATACACATACACACAAGTAGATTTATGGGTGGATGGGAATACATTTGTAGGAAAGAAGGGGAAATTGCTGAGTCAGTTCTTTCTGAAGCACACCGCACCATCCAGAGACTCAGACAAGGATGAAATGCCCCACACCTGTAGACTGTTCTTGTTGTACCTGGAAAAATTCCCATATTTTGATCCAGTTGATAAGGGAAAACCCACTGTGACAACAATATGGTCATGTCCTTGCCCTGGCTGCATGACTAGCTTTCTTTACCTTAGCTTGAGTGCTGGTACTGAGCTTTCGTATTCAGAGAGACTGGTGTGGTTGTTATTTATGTGTACAGAGCTCTGACAGCCTCAGAGAGCTGGGTAAAAAACGACCTAGATGCTGGCAGATTCTATGCTTGGGAAAATTTCAAGCTTTCCCCATGATTCCTGGGTTTTTGTTTCTACTACCTCCACTGCACTTGAGACTCATGCATTTTTGGTGGATTATGCTTCTTTCCCCAGAATGTGTCCCTTTTAGCAATCTGCAGAAGAACCCCACGCAAACCTGGCATTCTTTGTTTGGGTCAAGCTCAGTAACTATTCAAGGGTGAGGTCAAAGGAGGGGACACACCCCAGGGGACATAGCCCTCCCTAGTTTTCTAGTTCCATAGTTTCACCTACCGCCAGTAGGACAAATTTCCCTTGGTTGTCTCAAGCCACATGACTGGCAAGTCAATGCTGGTAACTGAGGCCTCCCACCAGTCATGTGAATGAACCATCTTGGAATGAACTCTTCCAGCACCAGTCAAGTTTTCAGATGATTACAGCCCAGCTGATGTACTGACTGCCTGCAACCTCAGGAGGGATCCCAGGCCATACTTCCCAGCTAGGCTGCTCCCAAATCTGACCCACTGAGGTTGTGTTCATTATTGTTTTAAATCAGTAAGTTTGGGGGCATTTTGTTACATAGCAACAACTAACTAATACAAGGGTTTGTATGTATCTTTTTCCCCTGGATCCTAAAGTGAGAAGACCCTACTTGTTTTAAAGGTAATATTTTCAATGGGGTAAAGAATTTAGGCATAAGCACAGAATGAGCGAATTGGACTTAACCAAACCGCAGGCTATCTTAGGCTGTGTGGCCGAGACCTGTGATTCCCTTGCACTGTGTGGAGCTGTTCCAGGAAGCAGATGCCCAGCTGGGGACCACACCCCCAGCCTCAGCCCCCTCTTTCCCAAAACACACATCAACCTATACATGGCATCCTGTAATTGAGTTCTGGCTAGTGAAATATGGGCAGAAGTGATATGCACCCATACAAATCTCTCACTTCTAGGGAGGGTTCAAGGGAGGATAACCAGGATGACAAGCAAAAAAGGTTCCTCTGAGTGAGAATTCAGAGAAGAAAGATGTTTAGCTCAGAGAGGCCAAGGGGAGGCAGGAGAATTGTCTTCATCAGTTATGAAGGAGGAAGACTGAACTGAGTTAGTCTGTATAACTTCATAGGGAACAAACCAGGCCATAAATGAAAGTTCAAAGGAAGGGCAAAGGAAGAAATGTTTTAACTATGAGAGCTGTTCAGTCTGCAACTGGATAGCTGGCCGGGAATGAGCTCCCTGACATTCAGAGTGAGGGGGGACTACTCTTCCAGGATGCTGTACAGACTCTTGCCCTGTCAAGAAGTTTGGACTGAATGGACTCCCTAACCTGGAGCTACTCTGTATCTAGAATCACAACATGTAGTATCTGAGCAGGGGCGTTTTATACATTGT